TATCTGAAGTTACTACAAGCCAAGTTTTTGTATAGAACTTCATATATATGCATAGACTATCTGTACTTTTTGGAATAGTTATGACTTTAGTGATTGCATTCTAAAACAAACCAGAAAAGATGGCGAGCCAATTCAAATCACTGTATAAGTTAGAGCAGGACTGTCCAGACCAGATGCGATCGTGGGACAATACAAATTACTGAATAGATTAGAGGGTTGCAGAAATAAATACAATACGGTGATAATATTAAATTTACTTTTATTAATTCTTCATTAATTTATTTTAAATAATTCTTTAAATGTTAATATTAGTTTTTTTCATACAAAAAATATTTTATTTTTGATATAATGCCTTACGGAAGTGGATACGAATTTTTTGAACCAGTTGTACATAGAAAATGTATATATATACAATTTTTATACAATTATTTAAAACATTTTAATACACTTATTTAGAATACCACAAAAATAAAATAATATGATGTTAACAAAATTAGGACCTCCTTACATTGTAGACATTGCATGGAGGATGATGAAGAGGAATCACCAATACACCTTCTGCTACAGTGTCCTGCTTTCGCAAGACATAAACTCTCCTACTTAGGGTCACACTTGTTCAATCACTAAGAGAGCTAGATTCTATTTCCATAGCTCGTGTCAATGGCTTTGTGGCCAATACCAAATGGGACAGATGTCAAATTCTTTAGGGTATCACAACGGACCTCTTGGTCTAAGTGAGTCTTCGGAGGGCCCCAGTAACCTAACCTAACCTAGCCCTACCAAAATTAACAAAGAAAATTAACCTAATTATGGTAAATTAGAAACAAAAAAAAACGAGTATAAGGATTGTATAAAACTTACTATTAAACGTAATTTTGAATATATTAAAAACCCTCATATCGACATAATATGATAAAGTGTGTCTGTTGCGTCTTTTGACCCAGTCCGGCATGCTCGCCGACTTGGACTAGTTTTTTTACCACGCTTGTCAATGCTTAACTCATTACCTTTTTATAACGGATTGAAATAAATATTTGATAAAGCATTTTTTCTCAAGTTATTTTATAAGATATTTGAAATTTTATATAAAAGCAACCCGGCACATTTTACCGATATCATTTTGGTTAATATTTATTCTATATATTTAAGACAGTCCTAGATTTGATACCCAAAACAAGTTCTGCGCAGAAACTTGTTTCTTTTTATATAATCATTGAACAGTTATAAGCATTCTCTAGTAGGTCTTATGTTGGAACTACTTTCATTGAAGGTAGCGTAGATGAATTTGAAACTTCAGTTCAATTTGGTTAAATCTCGAATTAAGTTAAGTGATTTTCAACTAATACAAAAGCAAACAAAGCACAATCACATTTTTTCTATATATATTCAAATATATTATATGTATTTGGATAATACCATATATAGGCATGAAGTCTTGAGATCCAGAAAAAAAAAACAAAACAATACAATAAATTCATCCTTCGCAGTGGAACTTCATAAAAATACATTATTTCAGTCTTTCAATTTTCGGATGTTCGCAACAAGCGACGTGTTGGATTAATTTACAATCCATAAAGAAAACCCAATTTTAAGGCAACCGCAAATTGGTTAACCGTCACATTGGCTTCTTGTCATGCTTTAAAAATTTTTAGATACTTTATGTTGTTTTTCTCAAAGCGACAAAGCAATCGTCGCACAGTGGTTCAAATGTCAATATTTTTTGAACAAAATTCAGACGTTCCTTATGTATTGCAAATTTTCTAAAAATATATTAACTATACTATGATAGGATTTATTTAAAAACTTCTTAGTAGCGAATACTCAAAATTCGTTTGTATACAGTATTATTACAAAAAAATCTGGATGGCAGTATATAGAGACAAAAACAGATAAAAATACTCGATATATTATAGTACTGGATGTGTCAAAATCTTCAATTAATTAAGGAGAGTAATATGAAAGATAAACGTAGCATAGATAAAAAATATTCACAACTATTTTCAAGAAATGAGTAAAAGTATTATATAAATATTTTATTCTTAAACTTATTTAAATAATATTATATTTAAATAAATAATAATATTTAAATAATAATATTTGTGATCACTTGTGATGATTTTTGAAAAGGATCGTAGTTTTAGAAGAAAGAAAATTTTGAAAAAATATATATCTAAGATAAAAATTATTAGGAACTCAAGTTGAGTTGATTAGAAAGAGGGATAAAATGTGCCTCAGGATTGGAAGATGGGAAGGCTGATATTTAGAGTATATTAATATATTATAATGTATTATAATATTAAATATATATGTCGGAGAATCAATAGCCATCCAAATACGAAAAAAAATTTAATATATAGCAGGTATTTTTAAGCAAAGAACATCTTCTGTGAACTTAATTACGGAATAGCCAATGAATGATTACGATAGTACTGAATAAAACAACAAGATTCGTTACGCATAGAAGTTTTATCATATGCAAGTAATTTTTTTTTTGTTTCAATACAGATTTCATCATTATTTCAATTTTATTGTTTCAATATAGATGTAAAGTCATTATGACTACACACATCTTTTGAGAATGATGAAATACTACGACGCGATATTATCACTCCTAAATTGCTGAAACCTAGAACTTTATTTACTCATATGACACCTCATAACATAAAAAATCTGAATTGAAGAGATAATAACATGCTTTTGGAATTAAGGTGTTTTAAGAGATTGTGAGTACAAGCGTTAGCATATTTTTGTAGTGAGTATAGATACTTCTAAAGTAAATATAAACACCTCTATAGTATAGTATACCTCTATAGCTCCAAGAAGAAGATGACATTTGTGTATAATCAATATATACCGATAAAACTCAATTTTTTATTTTACTGTTCAGTGAGAGGTGGCCGTTAAACCGAATGGATCACTTAAATTTGTACACCCACCATTTGCGATTATATGATTATTTTATCTTTGCATCGATTTCTTCAATTTTTGGCAACTTTTATATGACGTTGACCCACTGTGGTTCGGCCATCTCGTGCATATTTTGCAATTTTACGAATGCAAATTGACAAAGCTGAGATTATTTAAACTTTTTTCTTAATTTTACTTTATAAATTGTTTTCTTCATTTCATTCTTTTAATATTACTTTTGTATTTTATTACATTTTTTTCCTGTTTGTATATCATTAATTTTTTTTTCTTAACCCAGCGCTGAAACGGCTCGCCGTCATTCGAATTTCTTCATTCGTGAAATCCTGACAACGTCCTTGGCTGTTGGTTTTCTTCTGCATAATTTTTATATCTCAGTATTTTTGGTATATTTGTTGACTTTGTTTTTGTGTGAATTATATACCCCATTAAAGTTATAGCTGCTATTCGGCAAATTTAAGCGTATTTTATATGTACATCTTCTCTATGCGACTTGCATAGAAAATGATATACGCTTAAGCTGTCTTCCATTTCAACACCTTTACAAAGAACTTTTAGATGCAAAATTAACTTACAACTTTTTAGTTTGCACTTTGTTTATACTTTTTTTTCATATTTTCCATATTTGAGCCAGTTGGAGTAAAAGGACGAATCTATAAAAGAAAAATTGGAATGTAGTTATCGTGGGTATTTCAAGTTCCTAGCAGTAATTTTTTATGCCTGGTTACAAATGTCATTGTGTCTCATGATATTGTCAGTTAATAGATATTTGTATATCATAAAGGTCGGGGCTGTGATTAGTCACAATTAACCAAAAATATACTAATGTATTGAGTAGATTATAATCGAAATAGCTAATAGAAACTTTTGACCTGAGACGATTTAAGGATAATTTTTACTTTTTAAAAATAACTTAAAAACAATAACAGGTATTTTGAAAAGGCACTGTTATACTATCACCTTGGAAAATTAAGAACTTGAGAAATGAAACTTGTAGGTTCTATAGGGACGTATGAGTATGAGACCTCAAAACAAGGTTTGCAAACTTGTCTCGCACTGATGCATAAACGAAATAAGATTGAAGTTGAACATCTAACATCGGATGAAGAAATAAAACACTATAATATGCAATAGGTTCAATACTACAATTTATCAACCAATTGAATTTAGGAAAATACACTGAATCCATAAACACAATAGATCTCTAGGTCGGGTGCAAAATCTCCCAACAAACTACTAATTATAATAAGAATAATAACAATAATTAAGTGCAAAATTTTAGTAACAAAAATTTTGTTAAGATGATTTTTCTTAATTGCGCCATAAAGAACTAACAAGCCCGGTATTGCTCTGCGACACTTCTGAATCTAAATGTATAATGAACAAAGTTGTGGACTGTAAGCGTTGCTCTATATGAACCTTCTGAATTTAACGTACAAGTCTGTTACAGTAGATTTGAATGTTTTGACAATCATGTGATGAAAAAAGTATATTCATACTTAGGTACATATGGCTTTCTTCTACGGTTCTACTGTTCTACATGGTAGTCCAGAGCAATTAATATCTTTGGTAGTGTGAAATTTTATTATTTTGATGCAGGTGAAAATATAATTTTAAATGATATATTCGTTTTAGTAGATCAGAAAGAGCTAGAAAGAACCTCATGGAGCTGTAAAAAGCAACCAAAGGAAAGACACAAGGGAAGACATATGCAAAAAATGCAGTCAAAGAAGAAGATTCATAGGTCAATAAGATACCCTCTTATTTTGTTGTTATATTGTTTGCGGCACCTTCTAACTGACATGAAAGTACCCATAAAATCATATTAAAAATATTACATACATCGGAACATTTATAAATCTCTGGAAAAGTTGCTTTAGCATAATAAAGCAGTGTACATATATTTAGAATCAGATATATTTCAATTGGACTGGGTTGAGCGTTTCGTGGTAGATGAAATGAAAAAAATATGAATGATATTGTTTAATTATAAAAAAGTAATCTTTGAATTTTAAATTTCTTTTAATTTTTAATTGAAAATATTTATATCAAAAAAATTATTATTATGATGAATTATATTTTATAAACATTTTGGGTTCATATTTAAAACTTCATAGAACTACGATAGTTCTATCAAAATTCGGTGTTAGTTGAGGACCTGGCTAGAAGTATACAAAAATTTTAATATGGACAAGTCAGATCAGGTGCTTAATGCCTTAATGAAAGCAGGACCAGGAACGAATGATCAAATCATTAGGGCAATTGCTGAATCGACGAAAGTAAGCAAATGAGATATTTCAAATAAGCGAATATTGTTAACATAAATAAATAATATATGGTATTGTTTTCACATTCAAAATATTTATTTAGTTGACAACAGCGGAAATAAGAAAAGTCCTAGGGATACATCAGCCAGTCTCTGAAACTAACACCACTTCAACTACATCCAAGACCACATCATCAATCGCGTTTCGTTTGGAATCCTTAAGTTTTAATACTAACAGTAGCAGCTCTATAGCGCCATCTAAATCGCAGCAATGCGTTGAGCTGTTTAATAAGATCGTATCAATCACAAAAGTATGTAGCTTAAAAGTATCTTTAAAAAATATTGTTATATAGGTATATGTTATATAGGTGTCATGTTTTGATGAATGAAATCTTATTTTCTTAGATGCCTAAAGATGTTGTAATTGGGAAAATTGCGAACTTTGCTTCAACGTTTAAAATTAGTGATGACGAGTCCTAGTGCAACCTTACATCCACTCACACACAATTAACAGTTTTCAAGGCAAACACCATTAAGACGATCCAATTATTTGATGTACATCAACCAAATAAGATTCCAGAAGATAACCTCATGATGATGTTGGTCATATAAAAAACAATAGACCAACTGTTTTCATATATTTTTTCCCGTTCTAAGCAATATTAAAACACATAAGACCGCGTGATTCTTCTTTCAAATAATAAAAAATACCGGATTATATTATTGGAGTTTCAAATAACGTGTTTTAGCAAAAGCAATTCTAATTGTCAAGAAGATAGCAACATCACAATTTTTTTTTTTAATAGAAAATAGGTGTAAGTTAGTAAATTTTTGCAAGAATTTTTATTAATTTAACAATTTTACTGGTATTGAGAAACATATGGGTAAAGATATTTACTAGTTTACTCACATTTGTGCTGGTAATTTGAGGCTCCATCTAACTCCAATACTAGAATTTCAACATTCTAGTATTAATAGACTTTGAAATAGGGCGCTGTTTTAACCAACTTCCGTCGAGATAAGTCTCTTTTCGCTATTGAGACGTATAAGATTGATCAGTCGCTGGGAGTTAGATCTGGAGAATATATCTAATGTGAGAGCTATACGAATTCATGTTTATTATGGGCTGTGACATCGTGTTCAAAATGAGATAGTACATTGTAAATAAAGATTAATTTGGGTGTTTATTTGGCAATCTCTTCTTCCATACACGCCACTAACACAATTTAAAAAGTGGTACTGATTATTTTTGTATTTTCAGAGTAATCGATAAAATAATATACAGTAACATATCCAGGTGACTATTATAACTTATCCATACAATGGAGTATGGACAACAGTCGGACTGATGGAATTATGATGGATGGAATTATATTTGTTTTTATTTTTCACTGTAAGAAAACGGCCCTATTTCGTTTATATATCTTAGCATCCCACTGCATTCTGATGGATTGTCAGCAAAGCCTAAACTACTCGAATACTTCATTAAAGTAAATATTGTGATAATTACGCATAAGATTGAATGTTAGATAAAGGTGACAGTACTTTGCTTCGTTGAGAAGTTATATCTACAATCAGAGCTCTTATTACTGTGGCTCATCCAAGTGGTTACAGACATTATTGAGTAAAAGTGCTTTAGACATAAACTAGCGTTTCTTTAAACAAAGACGAAGAAATCATAAATGATCATTTTCTCAAATTAATTAATTAATACACAGAAGTAAGTTAAACTAAATTATATAAAGTAACCTTTGAGTTAAATTTACATTAAATATTTCTTTTTAAAGTTTTCTCTTTATCTAATCTAATCATTGACATTTCATAAACCCTTCCACTTTATATTCACATTTCATACCTACATTTGGTGTTAGTGTACGTGTTGGTCAAAAGTCTCATAATGGATAGAATCGACCGCATTCTTAATGCTTTACTGACAATAAAGCCGGGAACTAATGAGCAAATAATTCGGGCAATTGCAGAGTCGGTAGGTGTAAGTATAAAGTATTAATGTTCAAAACACACGTTTTTTGTATTCTCCCCAAAATATATGATTTAGTTAACTGTAACGGAAGTAAAAGAGGTGTTTGGAATTACAAAACCAGCGTCTGTAGCTAACACCTATACAACTGCGTCTAAGGTCGAATCATCCATTACGTTAAGCGTGGACTCATTGAGTTTAGTTTCTGAGCGTAGCAACGATTCTATGGCACCTAAGCTACAACCGAGTGTTCAGTCTTTCGCTAAAACCGTAACCAAAGTAAGATTATAAGTCACTTATCTTATTGACTTCAATCTGCGCAATACTGATTACAAAAAATATAGAAATATGATAAAGTCTTTAATTTTTACACTTATAGTGAAATCGTTTTAATTAGTCAAAAATTGGTTTGAAGTTGAAATATTATATTTTATGCATTGAATTATGTTATAATATGTTTTAGAGTTTAACTTACGAATTTTATTATATTTTTTAGCTGCCCGATAATATTATAGTTAATCGATTTGCTCATATGACACCCATTGTCACTTCTGATAGCAGCGATGATGAATATGAAATCAGTTCCCCATCCATACAATCATCATTTGACTCCAAAAGAAAAAAGTCAAAATGATTCACATTATTTGGCATATATCGACAATTATATATAATAAAATATAAGTTATTAAAAATCGATTAAATAAGATATAACTAAAATTGAATTAATCAGTTATTAATTTTCACAAATAGTTACATATTTGTTTTAAACAATAGTATAAATAAATTAAATTAAAACCGAGTCAATAATTTTTTATTTAATTATTAGAAATTTTTTTTTATTTTTAGAATTTCAGTTATTACAAATTTTTTTATAATTATAAAAATTTTTTTTACTAAAATATTAGATACACTTAAATAGTCTTTATTATTTTGAAAAAGGGATAGTACATTGCCACCTAAAAAGCCTATTGTAGCCCTTAGTCGGATTAAAGTGTTTCACAAATCCGATTTTTTTAATGAAAGACAGTATAGCACCTATCTTTCCTAGACTTGAATACCTATATACATAGTAAGCGATTTCTCTCTTTTCTCTATAGTTACTTTTTTTTTTGACGGTATTTGCAAGCATCGAAAGCCATCGTGTGAGACTTGAACCCACTAAACCACCTCTTAGGAATGAATGGAGAAGATTTTCACAGCATTGTGAAAACTTCATTCCAGTAATCAGGAGAGAGAGGAGAAAAAAAATAGGCTTAGTACCTAGCGAGCTAGATTTATCTAAGCCAGCCTCTCTATAGTTACTGAAGTCTGAGTTGGATTATATTCCTAATTTTGTTAGGTGATTATTTAATCTACTGTGACCAGTTAGAAATCCCATAATAATTCTTAGGTTATTTTTTGTTCTATGCAATCCTTAAAGTGTTTTTAGTTTTAAGCCCCTTAAAGCATTTTAGATTGTGTTAGTCTTAGTAGCCTTTCCCAATAGAGCTCACTTTCCTTTTCCTCTGCGCCGTTCAAAAGATTGGATAGTTAGAGTTCCTTTGCCTAGACCGCAGAAAGGTTCTGTGCATATCATTATTGCAGCTGCGCCTCTTCTTGTGAGTTTGTCCGCCATTTCATTGCCTTGGATACCAGCACACCTCGGAATCCATAACTGCACATGATTGTTTCAGCTTGTCAATGCACTCCCATACCAGTTTGGATATCACCTAGTAGGATATGAGTGCCATTTTAGTTGCCTGACTGTCAGTCAGTATTGCAATTCCACAGTTCCGGTAGCTGTGTTTAAGGTTGCAATTAACCCAACCAACATCTACTTCAAAAATAGTCACACTTTTTTGTAATGCTTCAGAGTATCTTCTGTCAGGTCCATATACACCAGCTTCAGCTTCATCACTGGTGTGGGAGTCATCATGCCTTATTATTTGGGTTTTAACCAAACCTTCCCTATTCTTTTTGTTACCAAGTTCACAGTTTTGAAATTTTTGGTAAAGTTGTACTTTACAACCATCCTGTCTGTTGGCATTTTAGTTTCTGGGATTTGTTATATTTGGTAATAAGATAAAGATATAGATAATATATAAAGATATAGGTATTTAACTTCATAAAAACATTCAACAGCCGTACTTCTTGTAAAAGGGCACTCAAAATTCAGTTTATATTTTCTGGACAGTAATATATTGACCACTTTATCATATTAAAAATATATATAGTACTGATATGATCACTCCAAATGGCAATGATTAGCTTAAAACTTGTCATGTTTTTAACCAAAATAAAATTTTTTGCCTGGTTTTTTTGCATATAAATACAGTTTTGAACAGTTTCATGTATAAATTATAATTTAGAAAATATCTAAAATGCAATGCTATACATTGCTATATATAAAAATATTTGAATTTGTCACATTTGCACAGAAATTCTAATATCGGATTTGTGGTACTCAAACTATTGTGTGCCGCAAGAGCATAAATTATGCAGGTCCGCCTGCCTATGTCAGCTCATATGGCAAATGATTTTACAATATTTTTTAAAGCATCGTAGCCAGATGATGAAAACAGTATGCATTGAAAGGATTCAACATTAGCAGTGGAACGACATACAGCCAGTGAGCCTCATGTGTCAAAAACGTCAAATACTCAAAGACTGTTTGAACAGAATATGGAGATTACATTGGCATTGCAATATGGCAAGGATATGAATGCGCAAGTGAGCACTTGCAATGCCACAAGTGATTGAGGTACCAGCAAAATTCATGGAGATGGAAGGGACGAATTTATTGTAAAAAAAATTAAGTTTATTGGCTAAATATGATACATATAATAAAATAAATTCTAATCAACAATAGAATCTTAATAGATTTAATAGGGGACGAATTTTAAGAATTAAATTTTTTAAATATAATTTAAAACTGAAAATAATTAGCTGCGCCAAAATTCTTCATCACCTCCAACCGCTATTCAGAAATGAAAATCTCAAGGAAACTGATATATAACCAAATAATTCGTAAGTCATTTCTATATGGATGTATGATGTTTAGCAAAGCTTCAAATACTACTATTCGCCAGCTAGAAATTGGACATAGCCAGGCTTTGAGAAGACTTTTAAAAGTACCATGGTACATTAGGACGAATGACATCCTCAGGGACCTAAAGATTGAACCAATCAAAAAATATAGGATAGATCCCTGAAATTATTTGCGAAAACTGATAGGCTTACCAAATTATCAAATCTCAGAATTTTTGCAGGCTCCTCGAAGAGGTATGCAGATCTGAGGTCAATTATTGCTTAGTCTGATAAAGTGGTAAACAATAATCCAGTCAAGGTGTAAAGAGGGGTTTTTGAAAAACTTTGAGTTAAGAAAGAGTAAAAGTGCTCAAGTGCACTGGCAAAAATAGCTTCAACATAATAATCATTAATATTTAAATAAGTAAAACTAACTATTGAGTAAAGGAAGAATTATTAAATCGCAGCATTTTTCTTTAATTTTTAAAGTGTGTAAGTATATTTTATCGAAAGAAAAACTTTTATGATAATAAGTTTCTGAAATTTTCCTCCAAACAAACAAAATATACATTTTTCTCCAAGATATTAATATAGATATGTAGGTATCAAACTGAACTACTTTCGCAGTATCTGGAATTGGATTAATTTGTATATATGACAGTTAATTAATTATAGTTAATGTAGTTTAATACAATGGGTTTGACAGAAAAAACTAGTGGGTCCACTATTGTTGACTTTCCCTAGGACTGAAATGTGAACAAGATAAACATTTTTTTTACAATCCGGATAGCTTTTGCCTTATTTACCTTTTGATTTGGCTAGATTTCTTTTCGTGAGCTTATTAAAAAAAAAATTCATAATCAGGAAAATTATTTTCATATTTTCAAATTTTTTTTTTAAGAGATATGTTACTATAAGTATTATTAGTATAAATACTATAAGTCTAATGTTGAGCTTTTTCCGAGTAAGTGCACCTGGGCACTTTTACTCCTTGATAGCTGGGTGGCTTCTGCAAGTCCCACTCATCTCACTGACTAATTTGTGTATTTCTCATAAGCTTCGTGATTATTTAATCACTGATCTAAGATCTGTGTACCTCCCCGTACGGTTAGTGATTACTGTCGAATTTCGCATATAGCTTCAGGGCTCTGTCCCCTATGTATAAGTATAAGTACCATAATATTATGGTATAAGTATTAGTATTATTTATGTATTTTGATGGAAATAGCTTATGAAAATTGCTCGATAAATTGATTCTAAATGACTTGATAAACTAAATTCTTGAACGGACTCTTCAAATTTTTACATTTGTAAGGAAACTCAATAATGAACAGCTCCCATTCATTGTAATAAATGAATGGGAGCTGTTCATTATCAAAATCCAGCTACTGCCAAAGTAGTTTAGTTAAATATCTACATATCTATATTAATGAGTAAATTCTTAGACAAAAACAATATTCAACTTAAAAGCATAATACCTTTATGCATTTAGGTATCACAAAAGTGTGTTCAAAATCATAAATATGCTATATTATAGCATATTGATTCAGTAAAAATTATCAAGTAACTACTCTACTCTTTTTTTTAAGAAAATACTTATTACCAGTTGTGTACTCGAATATATAAACCTAAAGTTTGGTATAAGTAAATCTTGTCTCCATATAAGTGCTATTATTATAATGCTCTCTTCACTTGTCTGTATAATAACGTCATCAGTGTATTCCGAGTGACTTTATATCCAAATAGAATTTATAACAGAATATATATACATATTCCACGTGTACATTTCTATAGAAGTATGTAATTAGTACTCCGAAATTAAGTTTTTCTTACTATTATCTGCACAGGTGGGTCTTCTAGCAAGGTCACTTATTAAACTATTTAACACATGAGACAGGAATTTTTTGAAAGTATTATTAAGCAATATCATATTATGCTAAACACATTGACATACCATAAAAGCAATTGTTTTTAGACTTGAAAAAAATTATCTTAGTAGACTAAATATTGAATGCATCAGTTACTGAAAAATTATCGGGTACTTACAAAGATTGAAATTCTACAAGAAACTGATTTACACCTTTTTTCATCGTTTTTACAAATGGGACGAATTTCGATAGCAATTTTTTAAAGATAAAGACCCATGGGTTTTTGAGTTTTTGGTCATATTTAAGGCTCTGTAGATGAGAATAATTTGTTTGTATTTAAAAAAAAAATAGGTTGATTAATTCGCTATTAATTTTTTTATATATACTATTAAAAATAATAGGATTTTGAGCATTTGAATTGTTAATTACAATTAAGTAATTAACACATAAAATAAATAAAAAATAAATATTTTTGATGAAATATTACGATATATTTGATTATACATTTAAATCTTAAATTAAATTGTAAAATTAAAATTTTATTTAAATAAACTAAATTTATTAAAATTAAAATTAAATAATAATTTAATTATATATTGTATTCTTTCTTAATAGAAGGAAAAAAAATTTAAGGAGAATTTTCTATATACGTATCTATATATATATATTTAATGCAAGGTAAGCGAAATTTTAATTTTTTAAAAAAAATTTTAAAAATGAAGTCATCCTAAAATTGTTTAGTTTTTAAATAAAATATAATGTTGAATCTAAATTAGAAAA